TAATGGAAAACCTAGCTGTTGCTTCGTCAAACTCGGCCCTTCTGACATACTCCAGCGTCCGTAGCGAACGAGAGTGTAGCTGCTTTTTGCTAGTCGCTGCAACATGGACGTGACAACGCACACCCAGTGACATCGTGTTTTCTGTGCCTCTGCTTTGGACCTGCCATTGCAGGATGGCTTGGCTGTTTGAAGAAAGCCATTTTTCTACACTACTGGTGTGTGGCTGTCTTGTTTTGCTTTCAAAAAGGAATTTCGGAGCTGTTCGGCTTGGAGGGGAGGGGAGCATTTTGCACTCTAGCTGGTTCCTTTTGTTAGTTCACATTATCTCTCGTGCATTACTTTTGAGACATGTAAACTCTTGCAGAGCTGCTGACTGGTACAGGTGAGCCGCTTCAGTAACGGAAATCTACAGGTTTTCACAGGGTGGCATGTCCAAGCTTCGTGTCAGTACAAATTAATGCCCCCACTAGGCCGACTGCGCTGAAATTTTTATCAGCTGAGTCCAACTGAATTTGCCAATGAGTATGACAACCAGTTGGCGACAGCCAGTTGGACGGTCATTCTCTGAGGAATGCAGTAAGGCTGATTTCGCCATTGATCTCACGTCTTGTATAGCTATGTGATTTTTTCATATTTTGAATGTATTTTTGTGTTGCTCCTTTTCCACTCTCTTCTAATCGTTTTCTGCACTCTAGGAAGGTTAATAGATTGAATAGGAATTGAGTTTTTCGCTTACATTTTTGCGTGCTCAGTGTCGCTTGCGACTGCATTGTCGGAGGGTTCTTTTTGATTATGAGGAACCTCTGTAATCTCGCAGTTTTTCGTTGTGTTATGTTGCTTGGGTAAAAGCGTTAGTTCTACGTTGCGAACTTGTAAGTGGCGTCATGTGTGCGGCATTCGCACCAGGACAAATTGATTTGACGTTGAAGTGCTGAAGTATGTCAGGTCAACTGGATGGTGGCTTATGCGTATCGCGTGTGTCGCAAAGTTGGTGTAATGCGTCACACCTTTCCTGTTTTGTTAAGGCGTTTTCTTTTTCCTCGACTTTTTTTCGATTTTGTTATTTACGATGGCTTTCAAGTGATTCAGTGGTATTCTATGTATTTTCTTTTGAATAAAATTTAATAACTAAAAATCAAAATGTTCATCATCGCGTGTCGCGACGATGTTACATGGAAAGAATTTGGAAGAATGCGACGATTTTGTGCTCCTAGTTTTGCAGAGGCACTATGACTAGCGTGTGAACGTATTTCTCTTTCACTTAAGCTATCAGGACCTGTGTCCAGGAGCTGAATCTCCAGGTAAGTCATCCGTATTGCTTTATAGTGGCGATATATCTCAGCTGTAAATAGCCACGTGCAGAATATGAGTATTGCTAGATGGTGCCAGCCAGGTCGCGTCTTACTTTGGGAATTTCCAGCGAAGTGGTCGTATTTGGTTGCTGCTGGGAGGCGGTCGCACTTGCTTTCAAGAAAACTTTTCGGTTATTGACTTTTTCCTGGGTGAAGTGTGCTATGGAGCTATGCGGCGCCTATAGCGTGCACCCTGCTCACAGCTCTGCGCCAGTTTTTTTGCGAGGGAAAGCGGTAGGGGAAAACTGGAGAGTTTTTGGAATAACCCCTAAAAAAGCGATAGGAAGTGGAACAATCAAAGAATATGGATAGGTAGGGTAGGGAGAATGGGGGGGATGGGGAGAAGGGAGGGGTTCGTGCCATGGGAAGAGGATCGTATTTTGGAGTTTTCCTTAACGAAAGCATGTGCCTTGGCAGCATTCACCTTACTCTTTATGTATGTTCTATAACGATCGGTACACACTCTTTACATTGGCAGTTGGTGCACGTTCGCCAAGTATAGACGCGAATTAAATGATAATGCTAGATCTAAAAAGTACGATCGCATTTTGACATTTGCGTTTCGAACATTGAAACTGTCGAAGGCCACCTCTCGTTCAATTATTGACAATCTTGTAAGAGCTGCGCTAAAAGGGTGTTTCACTGGGATGGTTACTGCCCCGACTGCCACTCAATTTTTACTGTACTGAGCGACTGAATTATTGGTGTTTCTGCAACATTTTTAATGTTCGGCTGTTCGGCTTGGGGGTGGCAGACATTTTGCTTTATCGCTAGTATCGTTTGCTAATTCCTGTTGAATAACACGTTTCACCTTGGTAAGACTTGTGGACTCGAGTCAAATGTTAGCAAAGCCCCATAGCGTTACAGGGATTTACAGGTCCCCACAGGAGGCGTCAGTAGCTATCCATAGGAACTGGAAAAATGCCCTCATCAAGCCGAAGTGCGCCTTTTTAATTCAATGTTTTGTTGATTGGGGTTGTGTTTATAATGATGACATCGCTTTCTAAGTGAGCTAAATAGGCTGGATTACGCTTGAAAGCATTGCGCAATTGTCTGAGAAATAGCCTATGAGGTGGGTTGGTATACAGCCGCGGAAGGTACCACTTCACTCGATTTGAAAGTCTGGTAAGGGGGGGGGGGAGTTGTGGTTTCTTGATTTTAGTGACGTTCAAGATGTCATACGGCTAAGCCATGTGCGCTGCTCGCTCCCGCCCTCATAGTTCGGTGGGTCTGATCGAGGCCCTTAGGCTGAGCTATTACATAGTGATCACAACTTTAGAATAACGAGGGTTGCCAACGTAGAAATCACCAGGAGGCTTCACTGGTACCAATGAAATCTAACGACCGCTATCTCAGTGAGAGGGCGAGAGATCTTTGCGTGTGGCGTAGCTGTGTCGCTTATAAAATGGTGGGCGGGGACGTCAAGAACATCAAGCAGTCTCGAACCTTCAGCTTATTTTCCATACAATTTCGAACGGCAAAAATGGTCAAACTCTGTGACCGCGGATGTGCCCAGTTTGTCCAAGCAAGGTGCTTTACTTTCGAGATAGTTGTCCAATGTGTCTTTAGGTGTGAAATTATAACATTGTCGAACTAGTACGCCTGCTTAGGTTACGGTCATACTTCGAGACTCGAACCACTCAGATTTTCGATTAACAAATCTATAATGGGCCGCGCTCCAACGCTGATCGTTGGACCGTTGGAACTGCCAACTTAACCACGGTCAGAGTAGATCTTACTTCGAGCTATGCCGCGGTGCAAGATCAGCGATGGAACGCAGTTATAGTGTAGTTCGCTGCGGACGGTTGGGCGTGTCCGTGCGGCTGCGTTTGGCGCGGTGCCAAACTCGTTCTACACCAGTTGTTGAAGCGGGCAAGTGACAATACTGTATCATATCCTTCGTATTACTAGTCTTCTACCACTTTTTGTCGCAGACGCTCTTCAACAAGAAGGCAGGGAACGGCTTTGATAGAGTGACGATACCATACTGGGCTTAGCACGCCCATTTCGCCCGCGGAGAAGTGTCAGTCTCGCGACTGAAATGTCGAATCGCAATGCGTGAACCGCCGACCTTACACGATACGGTAACATCATTCATTACAAATTCAAGATCGTCTATGATATAAAAGCATCGTAATAATCTGTTAGAACGTTACCAACAAGTCAAAAGCCTTTTCCTTTCTACTAAAAACGTGTGAGGTATTTGACAAGGCGAAAATTCGATTACAATAAAGAGCCCTTTTGGAACACGTCGTTTTTTTTTCAGGGTCTTTTACTTCGGCTTCAGTGTCAAGATCTCTCCAATAGGTTGGGGACCTGTTTTATGTTTTCTTCTCTTAGTGGTTCTGTGGGGTTTTTCGGTTGTTTCTTGTTCGGTGGATTCTTCGGCAGCTTTCGTCGTTTCAGGAGCTTTGGTCTCTTCGGTTGTTGTCCTTGTTGTTCCCCACAGGGCGATTACCAGGTGTTTCTCTCGTTGAACCTGTGGTCGCTTGTTTTGTTGGCGGATGGGTTTGTTCATGTTTCGTTGGTGGAGCGGTTTTTTCTTGTGGCGCTGTAGGATGCGTTGTCTCTTCTCCTTTCTTCTCTTTTCCCTCCTCGCCCTCTTCGGACGACTTCAATTTACCTGGTCGTGAACATAAGTAAGGAGCTTCATCCTCCTTCAACGCGGGAAGCAGTTTTCCTTTTACGTACATGCTATCGTCCTTCCCCTCCAGGTGAAGCTTCAGTATTTTTCCTTTTCTCGTTGTCACTATCTGTTTTACAGCTGAAATGCCAGCGGAAATGAGTGAGGTTGACAATTTAAAGGCAGTTGTCACCATAAATCCCTGAAGACGAATAGGATTAATAAGACCTGGCAGGACGGAATTCCGCACCACTAAAAAGGCGCTGCACACACCCTTCCCAAGAAAGGTACCCTTATAAGGCCTTATTGAGCTGCATCATACCGTCCCGAACGCCCACGACGCCCGCCCGCCCACAAATGGACCAAATGCTCGTATTGATTTATTTGATAAGCAAATGTGAAGCGAAGGGACTGGAAGAATGCGGCCGCAGTGCTGCCTGGATATACTGAGTGGCACAATGCCAGCCGCTATCTTTCTGATAGCGCGTTATATGGGCCAAGATGTTCACGGGAAACTCGTCCGAAATTGATTCTTAGCTCATTAAGAAGAGTGCTTTTTCTTCGCAGGATTTTGACCGTTTGACTCCGTTCTATAGCCATTTTCTCACTATTAGCGCCCTGCTAGCATTTTAGGCCGAGTACCAAATCATCGTACCATCTGCCTTTCAGACGTACGGCAGCATCAGCGACTGGGAAAGTATTGATATCGACTTAGCGTCTGTCAGAGTCTGCCAACATCTAGCAGCGTCTGCCAGTGTCTCGAGCGCTAGGGAAGTATAGGTATCGATCTAGCGTCTGCCAGCGCCTGTGCGTTCGCTAGCGAATCGGAGTAGAGAGTATGGGGAACTGGGAGGATCGCAAATAGCTGGATTAGGCGTCGTGAAATAGCTTCGTGTGCAGCCACACTGCACAACTTAAAGCACAGAATTATGCAATCTAATGTACGGTATAGCGTACTTGTACGGAGCGGCTGCACACGCCGCAGTTTTACGACGCCTAATCCAGCTGTTTGATACGGCTAATGCCGTTTGGACTCCAGAAATTTCGGCATCGAGCTCATTTTTAAATTGCCTAAGTCACCAAATTGGCTGGAAACTTGTATACAGGACTTAATCCACATCCTGTTTATGAATATGACATTCATTCTTGTCGCCTTTTGGATGACCCTACGATTACCTCTGTGCTCAGCCTTAAGCAGAGCGCGAATATCGTAGTTGTAAATCATTAGCGGCCAGGCTGAAAAGAGTGAATGTTTATATATTCGTAATCAGGATGTTAAACTACCCCTATATACAAGTTTTCAGCGGATTTGGTGACTTAGGCAATTCTAAAAATGAGCTCGGTGCCGAAATTTCTGGAGTCCAAACGGCATTAGCCCGTTTGCTACCCTCCTTCTTTTGCCCCATATTAACTTCTCCGTCGCTGTTACAACCAGTTGGAAGGACGCTGCCTGAACCGTTTGGTCGACGCCAACACGATACCTATGCTTCCCTTAGTCCTCCCAGACGCTGGCAGACGCTTTAGTGCGATAGTCTATACCTTTTTCCTAGTTTCCGGGCGCGGGGGGACGCTGCGACGCCCAGAACTACTGGTTGCTTGGTAGACGCTGATGGACGATGCCGCACAGTATGAACACAGCCATAGAGAGAACCCTCAAGAATTTACCGCCCAGCATATCCTCACCTTTGACACCAACGTTCTCTATTGCGACTTAGTTCTCACAAAATATCATTTCTTGCTTGAATTACAAAAGAGAAGCATATTCAGTTCCTATCTTTCATGATTTGCTGATTTTTCCTATTTTACGCGCTTCCCCCTCTTCCGACCATCGCTTCAGGAAGCGGACTCTGCCTTTACACTGAAAAGTGGTGGGACTGTGGAGGAGTAAGTGATTCGCAGTGATGACTCTCGGGTCCACCCGAGTGTGACTGAGTAGTAGATTATTTGAAAGTCAGAACTTACCTCTCTTCGTCCTGTTCGGCTTCATAGCTATAGGATGTTTTGTTGCGAAATATTCACCAGAAATTCCAACCATGTCTTCATATGTCTGGCTTATACGAACTGAGAAGTTTTAAATTATTGCTAAACTAATATTGCTACTGCCTAAACAAAAAAGCTGAAGTCTTGCAAAAATTTTCAAAAAAATTTGCAAGATGGAATCCGCACTGAGCTCATAAGGCACGTTAGTGAAACCAGCAAGAATGGATAAAACTGAGAAAGAGTTCCCAGTTCGTGTGTTCGTTCTCGTTGTGCGTACAGTAATTCGATTCCGCAAGTATGGCCGGCGGGGGAATGGGCACTTTGCTTTTTCGTTCCTTCACTAGTTTTGGTTTACAAGTCTCACTCTGGTGAAACCTGTGAACTCTTGTAGAGCTGGAGGAAGCTCGTTAAGCCATCATGGTAAAACCTGTCAACTTGAGACGAGGCTGTCTAGATGGGTCGACACGTCGATGGAAAGTCGTAAAAGTGCTGCCCCCCCCTCCTCCGTCGAAAGGACAGCGCCATCGCGCGTTCTTCTAAACCGCGTTCTATGCTTTACACTGTTGAAGACTAGATTTGAATGCTTAAAATTAAGTGCTATTTGAAGCGAGTGAAAGAATCGAGAAGGCGGAGCGATTGAGGTTTCGAGCTTCGAAGGTCGAATAGATGGAGCTCGGATGTGATCGCGCAGGTATGAGATAGATTCACAAGGGTGCATTTGATCAGCGCCCAACTTATGGAATCTGGGTAATTCCGCGACATGTTATAGTGTAAAAACATGCTTGATAATATAAGGTTCCATCTATCTGCAAGATTCAAAAATAACGTGCCAAAAAAACAGGATTCCCAGAGCTTTTGATTGACGGCTGACCTGTTCACCTCATGTGGATGAATCCTCGGAAAGGGCTAGATAGGCTGTGTTCATACTTTGCGGTAGCGTCCAAAAGCGACCAATAGCGTCCACCTGCAAACATCGGCGTCGAGCGTCCGTCAGCGTTTTCGATTTAGCGTCTGTCAGCGTCTACCAGAGTCAACCAGCGACTAGCAGCAGACTGCTGCTAGAGAGTATGGGGCGAAAGAGGGTACCAGCAGTCTGCTGCCCTTCTATCTCCCCATACTCTACCAGTTGCTTGCTGCCCTCCTATCGCGCCATATTCTCTCAGTCTGCTACCCTCCTATCGCCCTACACTCTCCACTCCCGGAAGCTGCTAGTCGCTGGTAGATGCTGGCAGGCGCTGGATTGATACCTATACTCCCTTGGCCCATGAGACACTGCTGGTCGGCTGGTGGACGCTGGTAGACGCTGACAGCGTTCGTAGACGCTGAAAGACTCTAGGTTTATATCTACACTTTTCAAGTCGCTGACGCTGCCGGACGCTTGGAACGCTAGTGGACGCTGCCGAAAGTTATCACACTCACTCTCTCGCGCACAAGGCGAGCCGAAATCAGTTTCTAGCTCGCTCGGGTTAAAAAGTGAGCCGTGAAAAGAGCATGGTAAATATCAACCTAGTGAATTCTTTTCAAGAGTGCTGCATTAGCGATTTCCCACTTCTCCAGAGCAATACCTGTCGAGTACTTTCCCCGAATTTTCCGATTTTCCACCTGACAAGGGAACCCCAACAGGTCGATCCGCCCATTTGCAATGAGATGTATATATATGGACGTGTCTTGAGCCGCTGAATCCAAATCTGCCCTCGGAATTTGCGGAACGATTCTCTGAAGGGAGTTACGGACCATTTAATCTCTGCTCTGTTCGCACAAGTTGAGAACGATAACTGCCACGGCAAGCGGCCGCGACGGCGTAGTGCGATAAAAGGCGCACTGCCTTCAGAGGGCACCAGAGTCCGTCTGTTGGATTGCCTGGGAGCTTCGCGAAAATTTTTTGCTTTTATGCAAAACACTTCATATGAGTCCCTAAAACGCTTCTGCTCGGCCAATTTACCTAGTTCTCTGACTTCCCTCAACGGATACGCCGGCTTCGGGCACAACATTACGACAGAACAAGAAAGCGACAACTGGCTGTTTTTCGTGCGGAATGCCACGTGTTGGTAGATCATAATCATGGGTGCTGACCATATCGGTAATTTTGCACAGAACACGTGGACAGGATTTTCATTCGAAATTAAGGAAATTCATCACCGCTTTCCCTCTGACTGGTGGAGAACTGTAACTTTACCGTGTGTGGAGAGCACTTCTGGCACTATACAACTATTACTACACCAAGGAGTCAAACTTTTTTTCGTTGAATTTGTCCCACAGGGGTAGTTCGGTGTCCTGATCACGAATATAG